TTGTCTTTATGCCATTTACTGAAAACCTCTAATTGCTAATTGTTTTCTACTCAATTTTATATCCTTCTAATGAAATTTAAAATATCTCTTCTTTATCTTTCTCAAAGTTTTGTTCGAAGGTGATGGAAAATGGAAGTAATTTAGTACTTTAAATAATTAGCAGCCAAAAGGGAATGTTAAAATTAATCTTTATCTTTACCAATTTCTTGAGCACAAGATCCCTATTTCAAACTGTCTTGGCTAGAACTGATCGGAGAAATAAAAAAAGAGAGCTTCTTAGAACTAAAAATACAGACAGATAAGTAAGTTAGCGGCATTTCTTAAATTTGCTCTGCATAATATAATGGATCAAACTTAAAGATTATATTTGTCCGTGACAAGAAAAAAAAGTGAATGAACAAATGTACTGTCAGAAAAAGACTGACATATTAAGTAAATACCATATTAGATCATTCAATGACCAATTAAATACAAAAAATGCTTTAAAGAATATTTATAGAGTACCTTCGTTCATATATCTTATATTTTTGGAGAATTTAAATGACTATTGAATTAAAATTATTTACAATTAAACATAATTGAATTGATGATCGTAAGAAGGTCTCAACATAACTGCATTTATTTTTCATTCAAATATTAAGAATTTGCCATGTCAAACCTGAACATAATAGGTTCATTTAACAATGACAAAGACTATCCCAACATGATACATATTCCAGAAACAGTGTTGAAGACATATCAGCTTTGTAACATATTGATAAAGAATACTTTTGGCGAAAGATTTAAATTTTGCTGAGTGTGTAGAAACTAAGATTGCATTTTCAATTAAAAGCAAGCGAGAGAAAACCGACGGCTACTTCTGTATATAAATTCAAGTATCTGAACAACTTTCTTCCGCTCATAATTAGAAATTAGGTTGGTGAACAAATTTTGTGTCTACTACGTCTTTTTACATGAATTATCTCATTAAAAACTAAGATTTCTCATTTTATAACCAGAATCATTTACCTTTAAAATGAATTTCACTCGGCTGAAAGTCTTTCTTCCATGTTACTCTGCTGAAATACACATTTCCTTGTAAGATAATCCAATGAATTGAAAATCGAACGGCTGTCTGGGAAATAATTGCCAAATTATATAAAGTCTTTTTTTACAATTTAAACAGACTGTTTAGACTAAAACATGTTATAAAGTCTACAGTGGGAGTCTTTTTCTTTGCATAGTTTATCAGAATATTTTTTCCAGATTTTTTTTATTTTATAAATTATATATTGTATCAAATGGTACTCCATTTTCTGTATGTTAACCTATGAAACAAATATGATGAAATAAAACAATATGGCACAAGATATGATTAGATATAATTCGAAAAGAGACAATTTGGCATGAAAAACCATACCAGACAAGACCAGAACTTAACACAATTAACTTGAACAATAACATATCACATACAAATATGATAAATTGATGGTATGATATTATATTGCATTTGATGTAACTATGATTTGATAGGATAGAATATGATGTACCAGATCAGACAATACAATATCCTTATATAGTCCGTATATAACCATTGGTTAAAAGGTATCTGGATATAATCATTCTGGACAAGTATATTTTTAATTCGGCGTCTTAATGTTTAAAAACTGTTCTAAAATGTAACATTAGAATTTATTTGTTAAAAACAGTAATATTTACGTTGAAGATTTATACTTAGTAATCAATGTAAACCCTTTCATACTTCCAAATATATTCCGATTTATTGTGCGTCTAGTTGGAATGAGTTTCCTGAAGCGGGGAATATATTTGAATGGACATGATTAGCACATTATATGCCTCATATGGCAAGACCTGAATATAAATCATCTGCAAAAGGAATACATTATGAGATAACGAAAAAGACATTTCTATATTTCTATTTTCCTGTTAGAATATAAACATTATCAAAAATTACGTTTATATTGTAAATTCCTTATCCTTTTCATATTATGGTAGAATGAATTTAGACTAAGACATTAACAATTCTTAAAGTATTTTAATCACTTAATTTACAGATAGAGAGCAAACATGCATTGTATTTGTGACAAATTCTACACTTCTTCACATTCTAACGATTACTTTGAAATTTAGACAAAATATAGGTCCATTTAGATACTAGAACTTTGGGATATGCACATATAAAATATATAATAATACAAAATGTACCCGAGAGAGATCAAACAAACCTTGGTCTAATCAGTAAATCTATATTAGTTTGTTTGTTTGGGTTTTACATCACACCGACACAGTACATGTCATTTGGCGACGTTCCAGCTTTACTGGTGGAGGAAGACCTCAGGTGCCCTTCCGTGCATTATTTCAGGCACGAACGGGCACCTGAGTAGAACCACCGACGTTCCGTTAGCTAGCTGGATAGCTTCCTCACATGAAGGAATCCAAAGTCCAAGTCGGAATTCGAACCCGAAGCGTCGAGGAGCAAGTGGTTTGATATCAACGACCTTAACCACTCGCCCACGCCAAAATCTATTAGAAGATAAGTCAATTTGCACACAGTGACATTTAAAGACACACCAAAGGGCAATAACCCAAACACTAAAAAGCTTTGCGTATAAAATTGCATTTGTCTGCAAATATAAAGGCAATATCAATTAAGTTCAAATTATCTGCATTTACTGTTAACGAAGACAATGATAGCAACACGCCTAATTTGAGTGAGACTCCAAATAGACTTTTGGCGCATGATTATTTCCTTTTTGTTCCAATGATTTTTCGTTTATAAAGAGAAAATGGAAACGAGCCAACGCACACATATTATAAGACATGTATCCAAATGTTTGTTGGTTTAAAGACTATTCATCTTCCGGCGACTTTTCTTATAAATCAATGACGTATTCTCATGATTGGTTCCATTTCTGACTAAGAACGGAATAATATGATATAATAATGGATAATTTTTCTGTATAAGTGTATTTTAAAAGGCAAAGTTAGAATATAGCTTTTCTTATATCCTTAACCTCGTTTTTTTACATGCATTCAAATAGATTTTATCGTATCAAACTTCAAAGGTAGTATGCATTTTTAAATGTTGAATTCTGCATTTAAATCCCGTGCCATTGGGCCCACTGTTTTATATCAACAGGCTCAATTAAAGGCTTGTATTATTCCTCAGACAATCTTATCAATCTACATTTTTGTAATATTTAAGTTGACAGAACGGTAAACTGATTCAGAAGTTAATTATTTAAAAAAGAACAATGTCACATTTAGATATTTTACACTGCGATTTAACCATTTCTATAAATGACGACTTAGTTGAAATATACTTTTTAACAAGTTTGAGTTTGCATCAATTAAGGTAAACTGATTCAGAATGAAACTTTTAGAAAACATATTGAACAATAACAAGCTTTAACTTTTAATGTACAGGACAAATAATTTTATAGTAGTAGTGATAAAAAGTGTTTTCCACCAGTAAGTTATATTGTCCGTCTATCTATCTTTTCGCGTGTAGAAAACTTTGACCTTTTTATAGCTGCCACACGGCTCATGACACCTGTTGTTGTGAAGTAACAAGTCTGGAAAGGGTTGGTCTCTTGGAAGCAAAAATGAAAACAATTAAAAACAACAAAATTTCACGATAATTGCAGCCGCAGACTTAGTTTGTTCAAGAAGGGAAATAAAAAAGTACAATGTCCCTCACCTCAAACACATAAAAAACAATTAAATGCTGATATATTTACATGCATCTATATAGCTATAACATGCTTTCTGTGGCATCTTCAATGTCTGTTACCCAGGAAACTCCATATATGGTGAATTATAGATATTTCCCGTACACATTGCCCTTTAGTCGTAATTTGATTGATCAAAGGAAATAGTGAGAAAAGTACATGTACTATATAATTATGATAATGGATGTTGATAGATCATCGTGGTGATATACTTTTTCATGATACCATTTCAACACCATTTCTGTCTAGAAACGACAACGTGAAGGATCGGTTTATAATTCAATATTATCGGGGAAGAGGTTTTCGCAGCCAATACATTAGATTATTTTATTTTTATAAAGTTGCTGAAAGATATGGAACTCGTAGCTTGATATTTATCATGCATTTACATTTAACTTTGTTGTAGAAAGAAATTTGAAAGCTGCATGCCATCAAATGAAAGAAAATATTTCAAGAAAATCAAACTTGGAAAGATTTTAAGAAAAGGAAACAGATTTGATTTACGATTCAAGTAATACTTGAAAGGTAACGTGCGATTAAGGACTATTTCTACAGTACATAACACCGTATTCATACTGCGTTTATACCGCAGAAAGGGGTATTTTAGCAAATTCTGACCTCTTTACCAAGTAATTTTAAAACCTTCAAAAAGTAATAGAGCGGACATGAAAAATAGATGTTTTTACATTGGACCTTTGAGTGTGATCCTGACCTTCAGTGTTTTTTTATTGATTATTGTGCTTTGCCAATGGTGTCATAATGGTGATTATTACCTTAAAACATTGCAGCAGTTTAAATGTTATGGACAGACACAAAATGTAGACATTTAAACATTTGACATGTGTGACCTTGACCTTGGGGTAGCAATTCAATTATTGCGCTCTGCACATCATCTCATAATGCCAAGCTATTTAAAAAAATTTCAGCGGTTTAAACATGAAAGTATTACAGACAGACAGACGGACAGACAGACGTACTTACGAAATGGTACTTACGTGACTTGTCCTTTGATCTTTTTTGCCATTTTAGTCACACAAGGCTTAAAAAAAGACACACAAGTGAAAACGAAATGAATAGGATCAAAGAGAATTCACTTTACCTATTGTTCTCCAAGTCACACAAGTACCTCTGGGTTTGTACGGACTGACAGACGTAGGTCATTCCTATAAGAAAATTGTAATTCTTGGTACAGGGATATTATAAGAATTCATCATGCTTCAAATATTATCACAACATACATGTTTCCAAATCTAATTATCTTAAGCTATACAGTGTAGCATCATTCGTCAGGAATACATTTAAAACACCTACCATACTCTTATAGCAACCTTCTCAAAAAACATTACCCATACCTTTTTAAAATCTGTTCTTAACTTATCTTTGCAGAAGATATCAATAGATCTAACACACAACATTGTCACATGATAAACAACAGGAGTACAGCAAAGTTGAAAGGTCAAGATCTCTATTACTGACCGACCTTTGACCTTCATAAATGCTTATCTGGCTAGACTTCGGATTTTTGTTGACCATCTGTGACTGCTATAATCTCATAATGTATGAAGTCTTTTTCTGATGGCAGTTTCCACAATCTCCAGACTATCTCTGTCTAGTTCTTTTACAAGAAGCACTGCTTGTAACACATGGGCATTCTGAAAATAAGAAAAATATGCACATTTTATAAAGAGCTAGGTTCACTAACCATGGATTTTTGCCCAATATTTTGCCAAAAAATAATTTGATGCAAAGTTCTTGTTTTTAGGTTTTATTTAGTAGTTCAATCCTTAAACTCTTCAAAACATATAAATTTATAGACATATGTTTACATTTAGTATGATTTATGTTCTATGGAAATACCCCTATTTCCAGCAAAATTAAGAAAATTCACGTATTTTTGGTGTTTTAAACGAAAATTAAAGTATCAGCACAGTCCAGTCCCAACAAAATCATTACACCATTGATTTGTAATGTATCTAAGGCTTCAACTATAATATAAAGTTGGGGCTTGCCTGTGCTCTATTCCAAAATTAGATTTTTACCTCATATCTTAACGTCATTTTTTTACATTTATTTCATTAAATGCAAACCATGGAGCATGTATACTGCACTCAACATTATTAATTTTTGTTCTTACTTGTTGAAATATGATTCATAACATACATTTTAATAAATGTTGGCAGGAAAATCATTTCTAGCAAATTAAAGGCACTTTCACTAAAATGATTACGATTATGTTTTGGTACGAGTTCGACCGGTTTCCACTGTAACGGTTGTGAACAAAACTCTGACATGTTAAAAGAAATATATGTAAACGTTTATAAATAAATGTTGAAATTCTGTTTATGCCTTAAATATTTCATTCTTAGAATTAGCAAGGTGTTGTTATGTAATTGTATTGATTCATTGAAAGACGTTATGCTGTTCAGGCTATTTCATTGCTGATCGCGAATACTTGATCTGGGTCCGGTTCTTTCGCCCTCACAAATAACAACAACAACAAAAAACAACTGTGGTCGTTTAAACACAGTGATTAAGAGGTTTTCATGTCTTTTTAAAAGGTAGATTAGAAGAATTCAATTTACTTTGTGAAAATAAAATTATTGAAAGTCTCAAAATAATTAAAAAATGCTGTATGTAGAGTATTTAAACTCTATAATTCCACATCGTCTGCATTGATGTATATGTAAAACTACTTGTTAAATGATGTTATGTCATCTCGGAATATTGCGTTAGCTCAGTGGTAGCATGGGAGCCTCTCACCCAGAATATTTGAGTTAAAACCTTGATCATGATTTTTTTTTCTTTTTTTTTTCTTTTTTTACATTTTCTTTTTCATAATTAACAAAATAGATGGTGCTTTTTTCAGAAAATATTAATTTATTCCTTGAGATATTTAGCATTTCTAATCGGTGCTACCTCATAATTATTAAGGTATTAAAGTTGTGTTAGACATTTGATTGCTTAACAGTTCAGCAAAAAGTTATAAATCTTATTAATTTAGTATTATTCTCATTAAAAAAATATTCACAAGAAATTGACAAAGCAGGAAATATGTTAGGAGTCAACGGACGAAATGTGTTCAGTAGACCTTCCCAGGATGAGAAAGAAGCAGCATGGTATTAAGCTTTAGCTGTTTCCAAGAAATACTAGACAAAAAGTCTTGACTTGTCCTTCCTCACAAAGGATCCTTTTATTTTGTGCACGAAATTGCAGACCATACATGAAAGCAGCCATAACTACATGAATTGGATTATCTACATGAATGACAGCATTGGTGCGTATTACTGCATTTTGGTGGTTGGTGCACGTGTAGTTTGAATTTGTTTCGATGTCTCCACCGTTACATGGTACCTCGCATATGGATATCTTGAGGAGTGATGAGACTCGGTCAGCAGTGAGAAATTGGGCTGACAATCTTGCTGATCATGTAGCTGTATTTTGAAATTGATAGCCATTTAATACAGTGTGAAAGATAATTGTTAAAAGTAACAGTAAAAGAGACAATGCTAAACTAAATTTTAATTGTAGGCTTCCTTATGTTAAATGTTTAATTTACAACCATTATATAGATGTAAGGGCATACTGGAATGATATAAACCAAATCTTACTTAGGTTCTATGTCACATAAGTTATGGATACATGTAAATAAATGTTGTTTTTTTTCTCAGTTCTCATTTCGTCATGGATCATTACATTTCAATTGTAATAGAAGTCTGATTTCCAAAATTATAAATAACATAAATAGTTGTCTGTATTTGGCTGTATCATAATTCAAAAAAGAAAATAGTATCGTATTTGCAGTTCAGTATCAAATATTACGTATACTCCGAAAGAGCATACAGGCAAACATTATTATTACTTGACAAAACTAGAAATGTGTCCAAAGGACACGGATGCCCCCACTGACAACATATATATGGTATATAGTGAAAAAATCAACAAAGGGCCATAATTCTGTTAAATTTGGTCGCAGCAAAAATTACTTCCTTCACTAAGGTTGTTCATCCCTGGAAGTTTAAGCAAAATCTGCCACCCGGTTTAAAGCAGCACGCCTTCAGATTCATGTTAATTTTCATAAAAATTTTGAAAATGTATTTAAAAGTAAAATAATGTGAGGTGAACAAATAAAGTAATTTACATATTGCAATCGGCACTTACAACATGTACAATCCACGAAAATTACCAAAAAGTGGCCAACATATGCAAAAACAGCCCTTACTGCGTTAGTAACGCAACAGAAGTATGGTGATAAAATACTGCAAAATTAGCGTTAAACCCAACATAATATGTAAAATATAACTTGGACCTTGAATGTTTTATCCTTTCTTAAAACTTTAGTGCATTTTTCTCATTATTGATTTTATTGAAATATTTTGGCTCATCTGGAGGCATGCAGCTTAAAGAGGAGTTGCGTTCACAAAATTTCTATATGGTATATAGTGAACAAATCAACAAAGGGCCATAATTGTGTTAAATTTGGTCGCAGCGAAAATTCCTTCCTTAATTTACTACCATCTACACATTAAGGTTGTTCATCCCTGGAAGTTTAAGTAAAGTCTGCCATATCCGGTTTAAGAGGAGTTGCGTTCACAAGATTTCGGGACGTACGGACAGACGTACGGACAAGTGCAACGCTATATGCTCCCCACTTTGTGGTAGCATAAAAATTCTAACAAACTTTTATATCTATAAATTTACTTGATTAAGGCGAACTTTTACACTATACATTGGAATAAGTCAACAACTCCTAGTATTAACATACTATTTGTTTACATATAATGTTACATAGTTTATGTTTAGTGTAAGTTAGACATAAATACCTATCTGTTTTGTGTATTAATAATAATAATAATAATGATATCATTATTATTATTTATTACTATTATTATTATTATTATTATTATTATGTTCAACGTCCTTGTCCAAAGACTGACTAAAACAGGACATTAAAATTGCGATTGATTCTATACACCCTTATTTTTAGCATAAGGTAAGAAGTAGATGAATAAAACAAACAAATTCGACATTTATTATTAAAAAATGAAAAATGAACAAACTTACAGTATTTATTAAAATAAAAATAAATATATTTAGTTAGGCGAAAAATAATATGCATGCACATATTTATTTCTAAATATCCGAATTTGGAATATCCGAAATGAGCCCCATTAATCTTTTATATTAGTTTTGCGACACAAAAGCCTAATTTTAACTAAACTATAATTTTGTTTACAGTATATAAGCAATATATTGCTATCTTTATGAGTTTATTTCAGTCAAACACACAAATTTGTTAGTGTTGTATGAAAATTGTCGTCATATTTGTGATTTAATTGAATTAAACAGGTGTTATAATTAGGACGCCATTATGTCGTCATAGTAACCAGAGCTGCCTAATCAATGTCTATTTTGAAAATGTAACACATTGTACTATACATCTTTAGGTTTTTATCAATATCTAAGATGGGGCCATTTTTGGTGCTAAGTGAACCTTGCTCTTACTCCAAAGCAGGTGCAAAACCAGAATTATTTACCACAGGGGGTTGCAAAAATGGGTAATGCATATTCCAAAGAGAACCTGACATTTTAATAGTTTTCAGTGAAAATTTGACTGATTTTAACTAGTTTTTTTTTTGCATGATGACTAGATAGCTCCCCCTAGACCTCACATGCAAAGCTTTTATTCAATATTGGACAAGATGATATAAATGATACAAAAGGATGAGCAGCTACCAAGCATCCTTATGTCAATGTCAAATTTGCAGCTGATCAATAAATAAGGGAAAGATTGAAATCATAAATTAATGCCGTTATCTATATTTATGGAAAACAAATGTGTTAAATTTATAATTTTGAAATTATCCACAACATATTTTATAAAGATTTGCTAGTCTTACCCTGGTCCTGGTAGAATGAGTAGGTGCAGATTTCGGTGAGCCTATTTTCTCTATAGGTAACGGCTTTAAGCCTTGTTGTTCTCGTATGTTACTGAAAATAAAACATCAGGAAAACACTTGATAAAAGTTATAAGAAATTAATGCAAAGCATGTCAATACTAATATAAATTCTCCTGTGGAAACATTTTATTACATTCTGCAAGAAGCCTACTTGCAAGTTTTATTGGATCATACAGTAACTGTTAAGGTCATATTAAAGATCAAAAGTACATGCTTAGTACAACTGTTCACTTTCAATTTTCATTGCAAGTTATAACTTAAACTTTAAATCATTTCACAAAAAAAACCATAAAAACCACCTCCAAAGTTATCTCCTAGTATGAAATTCACAATCACATATATAGTATTATATCTTTGTGTCACAGTGACATCTTACACTTTCAAAAAGTGAAAAGTATATCAGTAAACAAAACTAACAATCTGAAGAGGCGTAGCTGGGGCAATTTTAAATGTAAATACACATTTTCACAGAGGAGGTCAAGGAATAGATACAATATATTTTAATATAAAATAAAAAAAAATATATGGTCTTTTTCATAAATGAGGAATTTTTCATTGTGTACCTTGCCTGCAGCCCCGGATACCACTAGGTTCTTTTAAAATCATTTTTCACATTGAAATGATTTTCTAATTTTTTACCTCTCAGAATGAATTGTACGAATGTATGTATTTGGCGTATAAGCAGCTACGCCACAGAATTGAATTATTAACTTACTTTGTTTCCTCCCAGCTTAATGTCACTGGATCTTTTGGTAATTTTTTCATATCATTACTTTCTGAATCTCCACCAGCAATTGCCTCCCCATTGCTCACTGGCTTTTCTTCACTGGGTTCACTCCCTTGGTCTTGATCAGGCAGTGAGAGTTCCTCCCCTTGATTTTTAGCAGCAGTTTTCTCACCATCCTTTATAACTGTAATAAACAAGACTAATATAAATATGTATGATTTTAAGTTTACAAAAAGGGACATACATGTAAGTAGCAACAAGCACTGTTTGTCTTCCTTGTGCAAGAATCAAAATGATTAATGTTTATTAAGAAGAGCTTAGGCCTAGTAGATAAGGCGTTAGCCTCTTGACCCAGAAAACCAAGCAGGGTTTATGACCGATTTCGTTTCCTCAAAATTATGGAACCAGTATTGATTATTTCAAAAAATGTGGTCTCAAGAATGGTTTAAATAAGTTTACCTGTAAGCTTTGTCCTTATTTTGACTGAAGCTAATGGACACTAGTAAATAAATATATACAGACCCTGGTATGACAACAAACATGCTCCTACTTTAAAACTTACCAATATAATCAAGCTTTTGTAACTGAGGTAAATTTCTGATCACTGTCATTCTATAGTTGTCCCCCACCGCACAAGGATTATCTGAGAGCCAAAGGATGCGTAACTTTTCCAAGCCTTTAAGATAGCATATATCTGTTAACTCCTGTATTTTATTATTCCTTATGTACAGTTCTTGTAGGTTCTCACATACTTCAAACTCTTTCAAAGTAATGATGTCATTTACACTGAAATAAATACAGGAAAATTAAACATGAACATTTTAACAGATAGAAGCAGTTACCAGAATAATCAAGATATTTAACAGATCTATGTCTGGTTAACTCACAAATAGCTTTCAATAATAGATAAAACTGAATGCATTTGATCAGTTTCATTATTAATTACTAAATTTACCAATATCATTTATAAAGGCAGTAAACACACATACATAGATAACTATTTACATCTCTGGTTAACACAATGAAAATTGATCTTATAACTTCAAAATCATATTCTTATGAGGACTTAATAACAACAACTGTTAACAAAACAGCCTTTTTTCAATTAAAAAATGAGTATTACCTGACACTACATATTTCTAAATTTGGCATTTCTCTTACAATGCTGATATCATCTATCTCTGAACCCCTGAAATATAAAGTTTATAATCACAGTGTGAAATATAAGGATACTCAGTGTGATCAGGGTCTTTCAAATAGAATGGTCTGGACTTAGACCAATTTTACAACAAAAAGATGTCGCGGCTGAGTCCCTTGATTAAGTTATCTATCGATAGTGATGTACATCACTGTTCAAAAATCAAATTATAAGATTACTGTTTATTCGATCAAAAATAAGTTGGTTACTCATTTACTGAAAACTAATCCTGGCTACATTACATTATCATTTTTTACTTTAAAAAGTAACAATTTTATAAAAATAGAAGCATCGACATGTGTTACATTTTCTAGCAGTCACAGATAATATAAATACCGTGATATCATAGAACCCATGATATCATATGAATTGAGTATATTTAATTTGCGCCCTGTTCTTGAACACTTACATAAAATGACTGTGCATACACCTGTTCACTGTATAGCAAACTATACCGAGTCATACCACGTGTTTAATTGTAGCGAGGATTTACACTGTGCGTTTCCAAACTTCTATTTGAAAGACCCTTGTTTGATTAAAATTTGACCATCCATGGTTGGAATGTCGGACGTTTCACTCCCACTAAAAATGCTTTACTCCCAGAGTAGTGTACACCTAGACATTTCATTCCAAATATTTACATGTAATTTTGAGATATTGAATTGGTAAAAAAATAAACAAATTTACTTTCATTAATGCATGTTTGTTAAAATGATAATTTAACTGTCAACTGCCCGGACGGATTTATATCCGAATGTTGCGTACTTAACCTTATGCTACTAGAAAAAAGTTATTATTCTGAAATTTATATAAAACACCATCTTTAAACGTACCAGCAATTAAGCTTTCGAACACTTTCAAGATCAGGAGCTCGAGTACGAGCCAAAACAATAGGACCTGTCAAACTGTTCAATGTTGCACTGGCACCAGAGTCCTAAAATAATCATAAATACCCATATAACACAAACTGCCCGAAATATTATCCGAAAAAAATTGCAGACACACCCCCGTATATATACTGTCATATATAGTTTTCACATGGTATTGAACCTTTTCGACAGTGGGTACGATCTAACATTCCAACTGCAAAAGGGAGATAAACACCGGTCTCGATTCATAGAATAAACATTTATCTACAATGCTGGTAAACAATAATTTCTCAACTTTTACCGTTCCTACATTTTTTATCGAAATTCTCACTTTTGTTTTTTTCGCAGAAAGCTTCTGTTACCATAAACTTGCGGTTTAGTTGTTGTTGTTGTTGTGGTCGATTTGTTACAATACCGTTCAGCTGAACCTACACATTCGCAATTTTAAAAGCAGTTTTCAAAAGGAACACTCTATCGTCTTTATATAACCGCTAAATTCTTCTACGTGGCGATATACTATTATAAATAAAATCTTTGATAAGAACATTTAAACGTGCAACTGCACATTATGCCTCAGAAATCAATATTTACTTAATTCTTTAGAAATGTTAAACACCTCTTTAATAATGTTTTAATAATGGATTTGTGCAGCTGAATGATGTAGTGCTAATTGTGCATTAATGTGTTGTAAAGGTAGCAAAACTGTAAATAAAACAGCATTTTGACTTCCATACAAAATACTTATTCATTATAATTATACTAATTGCCAACAAAGCAAAATATGCAAATATAGAACTTTAATCCTTATGGAAAATGAGTATTTTAGCAAGATACCAAACATTTACGTTTCTTTACATGAAAAAACTTTAGCATTTCTGGCATAAGAGGTCTTTAAATAAATGATAGGCCTTTTACATAAACGATTTATCCAAGGCAAGAAAGTTATAAACGTTATAGCTATAAAACAAAACATTTTAGAAAATTACAACATATGTTTCACGTATTGCACTATATTACTGGTTTTCCGAACATTCACAATTCTCTTTCAAATTCTACACACGGCATTTATCTCAGCTTAAATATCGGTATCATTGTGAAACCAAGAATGTTATCTTATGTGCATAACTGTGTTCTTTTGTTCCCTGCACTCTGAATACAGTTTTTCATTTATATATGATTATTACAGATTACAACATAAATTTTGCCAACAGACATTTTCTTACTTTACTTCGCTTTTGATTTCCAGTTGACTTGAGATTTTAAAATAATTATCTTAAAATGAATGAGGCATGGACAACAGAAATAGGGAAAAAACTAAGAACTGTCTGAGTTTGAGAACTCTTGGCATGGTTTTAAAATGTATAAGCGATTTATAATAAGATTTAAACATTATCGTACGTTCAAAACAATTTGATAATGCACATGCAGGCTATCATTTTTTGAAAATCAGGTGAAGGTAGTGGTGTTTGGTTGTTTTCACTCTCACTATACGGATCACGGCAGTAAACCACATTGAATTCACCAGAGCACTGTTTATCCACCACATTATTCCTGGATAGGATGTCAAGTTAGCTCCCTTCGCATTTTTATTCTTATTTTCCCTTTTTATTGTGAAACATTTGACCGATGCACAGGAGTGTGTATATATTAAGCAGTCTTACCAGTTACAGTTGCCTTCGCTTTCCACAAGGAACTGAAACTTCTGTGATCGTTGAAAGGATTTCGTGATCACTACGTAACTGGCTTGCCGTCCTGGATCGAACCCGGCCACACGATTTACAGTCCAACGCTCTACTTAAAAGGGTAACCGGACGGCTAGTGCTTTTTTTCTAAAAATGATGAAATACTACTTATTCTTACCGTTAATCGTTATAATATTAATTAATTGCTAACATGTTATCTTGTTAAATAAATTAAAATTATTGTTAAAAACAAAATGTCTCATATTTAATTCTTTGTTCAGATTTTGAAAAAAATCGACCCGATGTATATATATCAAACATACCGGACAGTTCGCCGAGTTGTTACTGTCGACCCCTTTGAAACGCTTTTGCAATTGACGTCACTAAAGTTCCGTAAATTTTCCCCTTGCTAGTATAAATCTCGTATTCGCAGTCTTTAAATTGCCTGCACATGTTGAAAACGAATGGCCTGGTGCCCGAATAATTTTCCTTTAATAATTGATTTGTATGTATCTGAAGGAGCATTGATAATATATAGGCAAACTTTACACTACCGTTTTTTTAGCAAACGTCTGATTAATTGATTTATTCGATTGATTCGGGGTAATGGATAGCCTACGAAAGTGCAAGCACTTATTTCCAGTAGGGTCCTCACCTAAGTAGACACTAGAGACAGCTTTGAGATACAAAGGAATCCGGGAACCTGTCCCTAGCTCTTATTGAATAGAAGATCCCTTGGTTCTTTTGTATGCCCAGTGTGTAGCACTGATACATGCGAGGATTACCTGGGTTTCGTACCAGTTTACCTCTAGGGAAGTTGGAAGCACTGATAGTGTTTCTGAAAAATCCCAAGGGTGTTACCCAGGATCGAACCCGGAACCTCAGGAGTTACAGTCAGTGGTCTAACCAACTGAGCTATCGCGCCATCTACGTCATATTTTTAGATTCAACGCTATGACAACTGCTGTTTAAAACTTGATAAGTGCAGCTTAAATTCAATAACTTTTTTGAATTGCTGCGCCGGGTGCGTGTGACCATGGTTATTCCATATTGCAGGGAACAAGCATTTAGCACAATTATTTATTAACCTTATGCTCAAATTGTAGAAACATTGTACGGTCGATATAATATAAACATATTTGAAATTGAATTGATGATGCAAGACTGTAAGTCCAATTCGTTTTTAAACAACTCTCGTATAACATTCACTTTTGATTGAAATATCATGTATGCGATATGTACGTATGAGTACATGTCTGGTAACTTATGTTGTTTTGACGAGAAATTAACAATTGTGCAAAATCAGATATCTAGCTTCACAAACCAAAGGCTTATATAATCTCAAAGCATAAATCTGTATGATTTTGTATTGTCTTTCTGATAACATTATCCTGTGAATTTCTAACAACAGTTGTTCTGATGAAACAGTATGATGCAACAAGAGCAAATCATATAACTGTCATTGCGCGCTAACTAGCAGATATTTAGATGTTATCATAAAACATTCTAAATCAAAATTATACTTTTCACTTCAACTATAACTTCAACTATAAGAAACGAGCAAATATAAGCAATGCCTTTGAAATTCTGAAATGATCAGCTAACAGGGGCAACAGTTTTAGAAATTTTACTAAGAAAAAATGATAAGAACCAGGCCTACTCATTAAATCAAATTAAAAAATGATTGCATATTAAAATTCAAATTAAAACATCTTCCTGGTTAGCTTTAATTTTATGCTACATTATATAAAAATATGTTTTAAATCTGCGGAGAATAAAAGGATCGAACGAGAAAGTTAATGAAAGTATAATATTTTTCAATAAATTACTTTGTCAGCTTCCTGAGAAACTATGTTACAATGTTATATACATATTGCATGAACTTGAACATTTTCTATCACATCTTCATCGTACGGAAAAGATCATCATTCTACGTGACAGAAACTATATGGTTATTTGAAATGTTTTGAGAGATTTTTGCTCACGTGGTTATACAATTGAAGCAACTGCTTGCAAATTTTATCTTCATCTCAACTCTGGTTCTTTTACTATTGTTATCAAACAAAGAATTAAACCAATAAATCAAATCTTTTGTTGCTTTGTCAGTCGATTTTGCTATTGAAATGTTGCAATATGTTACAAGGCAAACAGTATAAATTAAGCACAGACAACATGCAACTACACCTCAGACGTCCAGTCAGTGAAACACGTGAGTACATAATATATCATTATATATATGTATAATTGTTATATTTCATAAAAGTGACATTATGCTTAAAACTGTACCATGTTTTTGACAATTATTTAATTAGTTCTTTATTCAAACTAGAAATGTTTTTGTTTCGAAACAGCAAAATTTCATGTAGACCTAGTTGATTTAGCTATTTAAATATGACTAGTGGGAATATGTAAATTTATCTGTGTTTTTGCTTTTTAATTAGCCATACATCTTTACGGATGACATAGAAACGATTGCGTTCTCTCTCGTATGATCACTTACCACTTAAAAATTACATTGTACAGATATCGGATAAACACGTTCATCCTAATAATAGTCAATGGTAGCAGTAACCATGTAGATATACAAATAATATTTTAGAACAGATAAGATTTGTAATTGTGCTTGTATGATTTTATTGTGTTCACGATGTATAAAGGGACCGCTTTAAGTGTCATAGAATCCTTCAAAACAACCTTAAGTAACTATCTGTGTTACATTTTAAAACAAAGTTACATTGTATTTATAACAAAAGCAAACGTTGTGCCTGTTTTGCTTATGAAATATGTCCGTTGCGCCAAAACAATCTCCTTTGCGTATTTTAGTCATACCAAAGCCAAGTTGGTCTTGACTTTAGGCAAGTGCGATTTTGCAATAATTCATAGAAGCACTTCTGAAGCACGTTCGATTTAACAATTCTGGTTCTCGGAATCAATTCTTCATGGAATCAAAGATCAAGTGGTAAAAAGATGGCGAATTCCATAGTAGGTTTCAGTAATAGAATTATTTAACGTACATCGTTGAAACCGCCAATGCAGGGATTTCTTTTTTTCCTTTCTCGTTATTTCAAGCTATATGACTGATTAAAACAATCCATCATCTTCATCCAGCATTATTAAAAGTGAAGTGACTTTGTAATTTACTACAGCTTTCTTCACCATTTTGAATATCTCCTTAGAACTTTATTACTTTTTTCTTGATTCAGAAACGGAATCGTTCGATTCAGAATTACTTCCAACACGTGACTTTTTATTCTAGAATCAACAAATCGCTCCCGTCTTTAAACATCGAGTTTATGCAAATTGAAGTGAAATAAATTTATATTGGTTACAATGATGAAAATGATAATGTACATACGAAAAATACAACATAACTAATAATATTTATTTTAAAGCACATAACAGTAAACCTCATAGCAGTTGAGGAGAACATTTTGTTGTTGTTCATGTTTAGAAAAAAGTCAACTCTTTGCCGTAGAGATTATCCCGTAAGCCACACAAAATAAACATACTACACAAAATCTTTTGAAATGTTAAATAAACATGTTTTGAATATACACAGAGAAAACATGTTATGTTAATATTCATTTCTACACATTACGAATAATCACAGTATGAATGCTTAGTGACCAGCTTTAGTTGCCATCCAATGAAATTCCGTCCATAGTCGCCATCTTTTTTTATATTACTTCATAGAACCGCCCTCGTAAAAATTAGTCGTGACATAATAAAGGACAAATAAAGCTTGACACCAAGTATGTTAGTATTCATCCGTAGCTGTTCTAAAGCAAATAGAAACGTTCTCCTGTCGCCGTCGCTCCCGTCGAAGTCTCTAATTTCTGAAGAACAGCACGGATGAACACTAACATATACATAGTGTCATTAAAAAACTGGCAGTTTTTGTAAAAATAGACCAAAATAATTTGACAAGTAAAAGGGAAGGCAGCTTCCCAAACATAGTTTATATATTCACTTAATCAAATTAGACATATTCAGGGAGAATTTACTAAATTGCAGTAAATTTCTGCAGTATAAGTATTGAATCCAAAGATGGGCATAGCTAGTATATCTTTAAATGTTGAATTCTGCTAAAGCAAATTTTAGGGGACTGGGGTAATAGCTTGCAATAAGCACTAACGTCCATGAACGGCTCAATCTAACCGGGGCTGAAACAATTTCAGTTTTTTTCGTATTGGGTTTTCTTTAGGGATTTTGTTTTTCTCTACTTTGTTAATCTTATGCATTATAAAGACTTCAAGACTCGAATACGATGACAAATACATTAAACGTGACATAATATTAGTAAGCGTAAAATACCTCGCTTATAAGTAACTCCATTTTAGCATAATGAAATGACAATTTTTCACAAGTACAGAGAGAAAATAACAATTTCATAAAAGTTATATTCAATTAATTATTAATCAATTGGTTGCCGTTGAATCATGCTATTTTTTGCATTTTCAGAAAGAAAATACTCTTTCATTTCGCTCTTGCCTTCTTGGAAATTGCCAATCTGTAAAACATGAGGTCATTTATCCTACCTACCACGGTATGACTTATTTCTAGTGCAATTTAATCGAATCTTAATTTTATTGATCGTTGATTTCTGAAATAAAATTTATTATATGCCTTTTTTCCCAATTTAAGCTGTGATTCACTTTTAAAATCTTAATAGTATCATTAGAGCTATTGTCTTAGTAACAAGTAAAATATCTTTAAAACAACCATAACAAAGTTGTAAGTTGTTCAATTTTTATAACATTACTCAGTAAGTGATATTTCAGATATGTATGTTGCTGTTGGTTGGTTTGGAAACAACAGAATCACAGGGATGTGGTAAATTTCAGCTTTATATTTTACACTAAATGCCTGATTAACGTATCCGAGTATTACAACAATCAATCAAATCATGTCGCATCACAAAGATGCTATTAATACAGTTTTATAACATTAAGAGATACTTCCTCACAATAAATGTAAAAAGTGATTTCTTCAATTAATTTTTTTTTTGCTACATACATTTTGACATAAACAAACATTGATTATAATTATTTTATAAAATAATGTTAGGCTATTCCTCGTGTTATATTACTATAATAAACAGACTTGACATTTTCTTAAAATTTCCATTATTTTGCCTTCAGTTACCACACCGAAAGTAGCGTTTAACGCATATTCCAGTACTGGGGGTAATTACGGCGTCGACGAATCTATCATATTTCCTGTTGTATTGCTTAATGAAGGTTGTGGTTATAACGAAAGCACTGGGATCTTCACAGCCCCTGTGGCTGGAATGTACCAGTTTAGCGTTCAGATATGTAATGCCGCATATAAATATTTGTGCGCAGCTATTGTACATGAAAATACTACAATAGCAATTACAACAAATTACGACACAGTAAGTACCTGCAGTTCGACAATGGTTCCAGCAAAAATTGAGACGGGTGATCAAGTTTATGTCAAGAGTACATACGAAGAAAGCGTCATGTATTCAAATAAGAACAGATGGCCATCCTTCACCGGTCTTCTTACAAGTGTTTGAACATAGTCATGAAATTCGACAAAAATCTGACACTTGAGAATTTTCAATTACATAAGAAATAAACTGATTCAATAATATTCCACATTCTTTACTTCTATTTGTGCGTACGAGTGTTAAGATGTTATTATATTTTACAGAATTGAACGACTTGCACTCCCCATCACAATGGACAGGCTCTATCAAACTGAGCCTGCAACATTTACAATTTTGTCGTTTTGGACGCGTTCTTTAGAAAATGTAATAGATACAGAGGTTATGAAATCTGCATATCACATATAAGATGAAAAAGTTATTTTTAAAAAAGCAGTATAATATCCTAAAAGTGTTCGTATAGTATTCAAGTATGAATGCTTAAGTCATCCAAGTTGTTAACGTTTACTTAATAAATGTCAAATAGAAGAAACTTAACATACCACATAACATTTATACACAACGCAATCGTTTCTTTTTTCATAACTATTTTATTTAGTAATTTTCCGGATGTAAAATCTTATACGACTTGAATACAAAGCATGCATAGCTGCGGACCGACACAATTTGTCTTGTGTTCCCTCAATAAAAATGTAAACATAAATTCATAAACACTATAATGTTATGCGTTCACCAAACAACTCCGTTCGAGTTAGTCGTTCATTGGTGGGTGAAAATGAACGTAGGACTTGCTCGGCTTGTCTTAATAAGTGCAACATCATTAATATGATTGTATATTTCAGTTAGCTAATCTTTAATTTATTTAACATTACTACATTTATTTTATTTTACCAGATATAAATAATATAAAGCAGTTTAATTATAATTAATAGTTATGTAAATGGAACATTTGATGGCAAGTAAGATCGTGAGCAGTTCATACGGGAGTGCTAAAACCCTAGCATTTTATGAAGCAATCATAATAAAAAGCTCAAAACATTATGCTTATATATAATACATAATTATTTTAATATTTGATAATATCTTGAATTGTGTAGCATCAGTAAGTATGAATGCGGCGGAGGACATCACCCAAACATGTTTTTAATTATCTACTGCATATCTGTGAAGCATTTAAGACTGTTCCTGATTGGAATGAATCTTGACCCCAAACTCTGCAATCCATTAAACTAGCTAACGAAAGACCAGCTGTAACTGGCGAAACAAGACGGGTGCGAAAAAATCAATGTAACCTTATATTCAATTTGTACCAAACATTTATTTGTGACATTCGTTCAAATAATTACCAGATGAGCTTCTCGTTCAGCCAAACAACTGATCGGATGACACAAATGTGCATTGAATCGGTTGTCCTTCTTTGATAAAAGGGGCAAATGTTTATAAGTACCTGTCCTATATTTTTACTTTATGTGCACTTCTTATTGTAGTATTGGTTGTATCATATCATGGTTTGTTCGTAGTTAAACGACAAATGTATATCCCATGGGGTTTATTTAGTGTAGTCTTAATTTTATTCATTCCCGCCAAAACATTTCTAACATCGGTCAATATCGCAATTAATCAGTCATTTCCGGAATGTTATTTTTCACGATTATCGGTTTTCAATAATTCTTAACTGTTCATAGCCGGAATTTAGTCCAAAGAAATAAATGATGAGTGATTTAAAATAATAATGTCCAAGATTTTGAAAAAAAAATCGTACAGCAATAACTGATTTGCTACGATATTGCCCGATGTTAGAATATTTTGCGGGAAAGCATTACAGTAACACTATTTTAAATGAACAAACGTTAATTTACTGTTTCACATTTGTACCAAATAAAAAACAATCATACAAGTTGTCGTAATGAAGAATTTAAGCAGGTTTCTTTTCTGCCCGTAAAAATATAAATGTCTTTTTGTTTCTGCCCGTAAATATATAAATGTCTTTTTGAAGATTAATTTTACAGCTGATATTATAATTAGGAATTTGCTCAAGATTTCCATAATTGAGGGGTAATCTTTGTTCACTAAAGCAAGGAGGACTGTTTAGAAATTATCAAAATTGCAACAAAATGTTGAAAAAAGGACTTGGATTTGTTGAAGTAATGAAAAGAAAATCACATGAAATCCAGTTTAAATTTTATTACAAATAATTCCGTACCAGTAAAAGGTGGATCAATCCACCATAAGTCGCAAAACATGTATTTTAACAAAGATCTTATGGCACAATAAAACAAATGAGGATTAATTCGCCTCTTCAATGTACTTCAAACAAAAGACTATGTATGTGGCTGACTAATCCACCTTTATACAATACTCAAAACTAAAATGTTCAATTATAAAACAAATAGGAGTAGTCCGCCTTATTAAAAGTAACTAAAGACGTGTTATATTTTAAGTAATCTTTAGAAAACGTTAACTTAAAACCTTATATATACAATTATCAAAACTTAAAACTATTAAACAATCAAAGCACTGAAAGTACTGAAGTATACATTGCTTGATAATATAATCCATTTTTGTCATCAAGGCCATGTTGATTTTAACCTATTGACTTCAAAAAGAATAGGGGTCATCTTCTGACCAAGGTCAATGTCCCTAACAAGTGCATCACATGCACCAAAGCTTCTTTCTTCCAAAGTTATTTATGAGACAAGGAAGATGTGATGTTCCATCTGTGTATTGCTAGGCAAGCTGATAGATGAGCACTAAAGAAATCATTTTTTAAAACACCTGTTAAATGGACTGCAGTATAGAATATTGAAACAGTCATATTGAGTTTCCAGTGATGATATCTAATAAAATACATGATCTGGTTTGAACTCTATACAAAGTCAATTAATTGAATCATCCTACAAGACTTAAGCTTAATTCCCAAATTATAGTACATCCTTTTGTATAGCTTTCCATGTTACAGATCTATGTACTGTACTTTGATGCACTAATACATATATTCTGGTGTGTTACACATTAATTTTCAAATGCATTACTTTATCGTTTATTAATAAAAATGAAATCTATAATCAAAACAATTCTAATGTACTGTAATATTTTCATTATTCAATAATTGTTACATATAGTCTTCATATACAACATTTCCAAGAAATTACTGGACAGCAAGTTAACAAGGGTTTTTCCATAATCAGGCTGTGTTACCAACTTCTTAACTTTAGATGAACCATTGAGCTAAAACATTTTTCTATTTTTTTGCTACTGTGACCTACTTCTGATTTTCAACCAAGGTGATCCATGTTCAAACTCGAGCAAAACCTGTCACACACATTCTTACGATGTTGTGTAACAATTGGGGCAAAAGTGTGACCAGTAGAGAGTTAACAAACAAAATGACCAGCAGAGTGTTAACAACTGTAATGTCATCGTCGGATACACATGGTTGATTAACATTTAACATGACATAACTGATAAATGTAAATAGTTCGGCCGTGGGTACCCGACGATGCTAAATGTGGACAGACCACAGTTGACATATGATGGATGACCAACATTCAACAATCTAAAGCCCCACCCTGAGCCAACCTATAAGTTTCACCACTGGTATAAATAATATGATAATAAAAATGAATACTGCGTAATGATTTAGATGAAATGTAGCCATTATATCAGAAGTAAATTATTGCTTTTCTATATATGTTCTTTACTCTATTGTAACTACGCAAGTTCATATAGCATATAAATATAAAACGACTGCTAGATTATTTTTTACTATAAACAAATAAAAAGTAAAAGTTGATTATTTAAACGATTGAAAAGTCTATTTTATGGGTGTTTTTATTCATATACCTTTCTTATCGCGCGTCGAATGTGGTTTTCGGCTTTCCCATGTTTTTAACGCTGACTGTTACATAGCCGAAAAAATACAAGTTTTTCTGTATTTATTACAAAAAATAACTGCCATTTTACAAAGGTAAAAAAAAGTAATAGTTATTCATTTAAACGGTTGAAAAATGTATTTAGCAGCACTTTTTTAAATAATATATCTATTTTATCGCAAGTAAAATGTGCTTGTTTGTTTGTTTGTTTGTGTTTTGTTTTTTGTTTTTTGGCGGGGGGGGGGGGGGCTTTTCTATTTTCTACGTTTTTGACGCTAGGCAGTAACATAGCCGAAAAACACTTTCATACAATGTTTATTACAAAAATATTACTGATATTTTACATTGCTTACAAATATAATGTTATAATCATTCATATAAACGGTTGAAAAATTTATTTAATAGTTCTTATTTTAAACATGTCCATTTCACCGCCAGTAAAATGTGTGTGTGTGTTTTTTTTTTGTTTTTTTTTTTTGCTTTTCCATGTTTTTGACGCTAGACCGTTACGTAGCCGAAAAACACTTTCATACTGTATTTATAAAAATAATATCTCTGACATTTTCCATTGGTAACAAAAGAAAGTAATAGTTATTCATTTAAAAGGTTGAAAAAAATTAATAGCGGCTCATGTTTAAACTACGACTATTACATCGCCAGTAAAAATGTGTTTTTCGGCTTTTCCATGTTTTTGACGCTAGACTGTTACGTTGCCGAAAACACTTTCATATCGCATTAAATACAGAATAGAATCATTCTCTAATTTACACTGGTTGCAAAAAGAAAGTAAATTTTAATCATTTAAAGGATAGAAAAAAAGTAGATAAAACTAATTTGTTGGAATTATACCAATTGTATCGCCGTAAAAAGTGTTTTTCGGCTTATCCATATTTTTTAAGCTTGCCCGTTGAGTTTCCAAAAACATTTATATAGTGTGTTCTTTTCGATATAATGCTGATAATTGATAAATTTATTGATCGGAATTGTGAAAAAAAAACAATTTCTCTAAGAATAGCTTACGAAATTTCTATTTTTCGAATCCACGATAATTGCCAGGTTTAAAAAAAAATATTTTCCGATATACGCTGGTAAATTTTGTTACGGAGCTCCATACTCGTTTTGTAAAACACATTAGGCCAATTTTATTGCATAAATGTAAATCAGGAATTTTATTTGATTAAATATTTATCTGAGATGTTTCGTCCCATTTATATAATTCTGACGACTTTACTATATTTACGATGTATTCATTCATGCTAGCAAGCGTATGCGTATATGCGAAGTTTAACGCGTAGGTATAAACTACGATTTTATCAATGAACTGTTTTTTTTTT